TGGGGAAGGAGTGAGCCGTGGCATTTGCTGGCTTTAATCTTTATGGTAATACTTTGGTAAATATCTGCTGTTCTTTCACTCTTGTCAGTGTGGCAGCCTGTGAGTGATACCGAGCCGTGCTCCGGGAAAGAGGAGGGAGCTGCAGAGAGGATTAGAGGGTTAAGATAGGATTATGGGGTCAGAAACAGAGAAAGAAAGAGCGAAAGAAGGGAAAAGAAAATGAAGTGTGATGCTTGCGGCAGTAGACTGCAAGGCAAGTGGGTAGTGCGTGAGTGAAGAGGAGTCTTTTACAAACAGGTTGCAGCTTTCTAAAAAGGGAAAGGCCCTACAGTTCAAGCCTACAGTTCCTTTGAAACGATGCACTGACTGAAAATTCATTTTGCTTCTACTTAGCCCATGAAGACTTTCCTTCTCCTGTCCATTCACTTCTGTGCAGCATCGAGGTATAGCAGGCCTGGTCCTAGGGACGTATTGGCACTCACGTTGCACAGGCAGCCTAAAGTGGTGGGGCTGAGAAGCTTGGTAGTCAAGTGCAGTGGACATTTTAGTCTGGGGTAAAGGAACATGGAGGGGACGAAGTGTCAGGAGCTGGTGTAAGCTGCTGCTGCAGCAACATGGGATAGGGCAGGGAGGGCATACTGCAGGAAAGGCTGCTGCTGGAGGAGAGGAAAGCAGAGAGCAATGAAGAAATTGCTGTCTTGTCCCTTCCCCTCCCTAGCAATCCTTGCCCTCTCTGGAGTAGTCCTGGTTGGAGTTCTGCATATTACCTGCAATGGAGATGCACCCTTCCCAGGAAAGTCTGAGGTGATGCATTCTGCTGGTGACAGGAAGAAAAGTGAAATATGTGTAGGCTTCCTGGAAACAGTTCCAACAAGAGGGTCTGGATGAATACAGTGTTGTGTGAATGGACTGCCAAAAACTGTTCCTGGATTTGATTCAAGTTTGAGGCCAGAGATTCAGTTTAGTTCTTACTTCATCCCAAATGTCCTGCATCGTAACAATGCAGCAAGATGGGCAGAGCAGTTTGCGTCTAGTAAGAAGCAATTTGAACTGTGGTATATGCATTAAGTGAAACAGGCCCACTATTATTTCAAGGTCTTTCTCCTTTAAAGGCAATCAAGAAGGTGCAGTGTAGAAGGCAATTTAGTCACAGATGATGCAGAGAAGGCTGAAGTATTTAATGCCTTTTTAACTATGTTTTTTGCAAATAGGGGCAGCTGCCATCTGATGGGAGCAGTTAACAACAGAGATAGGGAATGAGACAAATGGCCTGCCCTGTAGTAATGACAGACCAGGTTAGGGATTACTTAGAGTAGCTAGATGCTTTCAACTCAGCAGGGTTGGAGAGAATATACCTAAGGGAACTGAAGGAATTGGCTGAGGTGATTTGGGAACCATTGGTTATCCTTTTTGAGAACTCATGGAGGTTGGGAGAGGTCCCAGATGACTGGAAAGGGGCAAATATAGTGTCTGTCTTTAAGAAGGGGGAAAAACAGATCTGGGGAACTACAGACCAGTCAGCCTGTTCTCTATACCTGGAAATATCATACAGCAGGTCCTCAAGATATCCACTGTGAAGCACCTGAAGGAGAACAAGATGTTTAGGAACAGTGATCGTGGATTCATCAAGAGCAAGTCATACTGGACCAATCTGATTTACTTATATGATAAAGTGGCAGTCTTTGTGGATTAGGGCAAAGCAATGGATGTGGTATATCTTGACTTTAAAGAGGCTTTTTACACCGTCTTCCACGATTTAGTCATTTACAAGCTAAGGATATATAGACTAAATGAAAGTACTCTAACGTGGATACATAACAGGTTGGATTGTAGTTCTCTGTAAGTAGTCCTCAATGGCTCAATGTCTAGCTGGGAGGAGATATCAAGGGGAGCTCCCCAGGGATCTGTCCTGGGTCTGGTATTGTTCAACATCTTTATTAATGTTTTAGATTATGGGATTGAGTTCACATTTAGTAAATGTGCAGATGGCACCAAGTTGGAGGGAATTGTGGACACTCCAGAGGGGAGGGCTAGGATCCAAAATGACCTGGATAGACTGGAGAAATGGTCCACAATCAACCAATGAGATTCAACAAGGACAAATTCAAAGTCCTTCACTTGGGATGGAATAATTGCTTGCAAAAATGCAGACTGGGGAATGACTGGCTTGATTGCAGTACTGGGTTGGAAGTATCCGGAAATGAGGTATAATTTATATCCACCCGTGGCCTCCCAAGCAACCCTGTGTAATATTAAGTATGCTAAGAAGGTGTGGACCAAGTACCCACAAGACAAGTATCCACCAGGAGGTAGGCTTGTATTGAAGACCGTTTTATAGTAAGGAGAAAGGCCCACCTGGAGGGATATACTTCTTTCCATGCCTTTGTCTGATTTATCCAATGGGATAATACATACTGTAGTCCATAGAGTCAAGCTATTTAGATACGTTGTAGATAGGCTCTGAAAAATGTGGGCCCTGCTTTCAGTGGCCACAAGTATCATAAGCACACTGTGCTGCAGAAACAGCTACAGAATTGTGCTGCTACAGAATTGTGCTCCTGAGCTTAAACTTTCCATTTAAAAAGCTATATTTCTATTTGCTATGCTTGTAAAGAAAACCTCCCAGTTAGGAACTGATTGGCAGTCAGTGCTACAGGCTTTGGACAGGATTGCAGACAGCCAGAAGCAGTAAACCTGAGCAACATGGGCATCCATTTTAATGGGGTGTTAACCTAAAAACCTAACAATTAATATTTCTTGGAGCCTCACATGGTCTATGCCCCATTGCCCCAAGGTCTGCTTTGTTTTCTCTCACTGTAGGGATGCTTCAGTTCAGGCAACCAAGGCTGGAACATGCAGTTGCCTGGGGATGCTCGTTGGAAGCTCTTCTCCACTGGAATTCATTCCCAGAAGAGACCAGGCTACACCTTCACAGTGCAAGTCTCATCTTTTCTGTGGAGCTGGCCTTTCCCCCTCTCCAGGTGCAGCTGATGTAGGGCTGGATTCTGACTAGCCCAGGCACAGCTAGGGGATTTCAAGGCATTTCCCTTATCCTTTAGGGTTCCCCTTCTCTAGAGCTGACCACATTGCTGTTTGGGATTATATACTCTTCTCCTGCCTTGTATCTGTATGAATGAGGACAGGTCTTAGCCCTTTCCCCTGCCTCCTGAATCAGCCACTGGTATTGTGGTGAAACCAGCCTCATAGTTGGTGTGACCAGCATCTTCTTCTCTGCTGTCTTGGGGGTTGACTCAGCCAGAATTCTTCTTGGAAACTCTGGTCTCTGAATAACCTTTCTACATTCTCTCAAATGTGTGTGACATTGCTTAGGACAGAAGCCATCCCTGTCTGGAGCGAAGAGGGTTGGGGGGAAGAAACTCACCATAAATCAAAGTGTAACTCTTTGAAAATCCACTCCCTCACTGATGTGCCCTTGTTTCCAAAGCAGTCTCTGTGTAATGTGTCTCTCTGGAGATAAATCTGGGTTCAGGCCCATCAAAGCAAAGATCCAGGCTCACTTTTGTTTGTGTGGTTGGGTATTCTTGTTTTTTGGGGGGTTTCTTTTTTTTTTCTTCTTTTCCCCCTGCATTTAATAATAATAATCTGCTTTTCCTTAGCTGGAAGTTGAAAATTATCATAAATACTATCAAATGCCTTCCAAACAACTAAATACACAGTTCCCAATCAAAAGCAGGCCAGCAAATCTGAATGGTCCCAGGGCAGGGCTGGGACAACTGTGGTATACCCATGAGTGAGAAATCCTTTGATATATTTCACTAGGGGCCATGAAAGACATTTCTGCTATAATGTGATCATTCAGATGAATGCCTAAGCTGCCTTGGCTGTGTATTCATCTTTAATTATTAAAACAGGACGGGTAATTCATAGCCCTTGAGGTCTTTATTTTATTTTCTGACAGTGGAATTAATGTATGGGAAGAAAGGTGGGAAGTGAGAGTGAGAACAAAGAGAGAAAAGTGAGAAAAGGATGAGAGAGAGAGAGAACACAGGAGAGGGGAAATTAAGTGGAGAAAGAAAGATTAAAATGAGAGGGGGAAGCAAAACAAAAATCACAATAACTAATTACTGTTTTTTTATTTGGATATCAGCTAATGGTCCCAGTTGTGGTCAAGACCCCATTGCACTGGACACTTGTAGACAGAGCCTGTCAGGCAGTCTAGAGCTTAGGCACTCCCTGAGCTCTGTGTTGCATCAACTTACTAGTAAAGAAACCCCCACCTCAAGCTGTATCTTGTGTGGGACCATGTTTATCTTTGTGGACAGAAAGGAAAGATCAGACCTTCTAGATGCGGTGGAAGAGAGGCAAGTGAAAGGGAAGAGGTGGCACAGTGATAAAGTGAAAGACAATGAGGCAAAGGTGATTTAGAGACAGATGAAAAGGGAGGTGGGAGCACCAACAGAGACAGACTGAAAGACCAACAGGCAACAGCAGCAGAGTGGACGTTCTGATCCCACCATGCGTAAATGCACGAATATTTATGCCATCTTGCTGTTATATGCAATCAGTTGGTCACTGTCAGTTGGTACAAAAACAACAGTGCATTCACAACCAAGGGGGTCTAAGATAGCTAATGAGCAGGAGAAGGATAAGTAACGGGAATGGGAGTTTTCCATGTCAGAACTCTGGCTGAGAGTGTCTCTGTGTACAAGAGGACTTGCAAGGCAAAGTAGTACATACCAGTACAATAAATGAAAGGAGTTGGGAGGTGATGGGAAGGAGAGAGAGGGAAAGAATAAAGCTACACAAAGTGTAGCATAGGTGTGTGCGCGCATGTGCAGGCAGTGTAACAAAGTGTGTGCGTGTATGGCAGACAGACAGAGAAGGAGAGAGAATGCTTCCCTCAGTCAAAGCTGCCTGGTTGTGGTAATTAGAAAGCGAACAAACTGAGAGTACTTGTTTGAGTTACAAGTTTAATGAGTCAAAATTACACAGCCCGAAATCCATTCAGCGGAAGTGTTTGTATCAAGAACAGGGTTGTTTTTCACTAGGGAGCGTTTACAAAGTAATGACCAGAGCTGCATGGGGATCCCAGGCCTGGAAGAGCAGGGTGTGCAGAACGTCACAGGAGAGGGGCACTAGAACAGCTGTATGGGGAGCCCAGAGCTGGAACTGGAAGTGGGACTGCAGGGCAGGAATAAGGGGCACCAAGTGTCCTTTGCAGAAGTAGGGTGCACAGTGCGTACCTTTGCACTATTTGTACTGCTATTTATCTCCCCATTTCCAGACCCCAGATTCATCCACCTTTTTTTCTTCACAATAAATGCTAATCTGTATTGTTTAACTTTGATGTGCTGGTGCACACTTTACTGAGACTGGAACACAATCTGGGAATGTACGGCTCCCTCAGTCACAGGGAACAAAGCAGGATTGGCCTTTGTACAGGGAGAAAATGAGTTATCTTCTTCCGAGGCAGTGCATTATTTCCATTGGGTTGTATTCCTTCCTGAGTGCAGTGGAGTTATGCTAAGGATCCACACTCATTTCGTTGCTGTTGGTGTTCTTCTGTAAGGGCCCAAAGCTAGCAGAACAAATGATGCTGGGCTGGAGCCTCTCTGCCCAGCACACCTCACACTAACATGCAGCCATTCTGCATCTCCCTTTCACAGAGAGTGTCTGTGAGTCCATGTTCATCCCTGTTGGAAAGAGATTTAAGCCATGGTAAGGATGGGACTAGAGAAAAGATAGGTATCCTATTCTATATGTGTATTCTTACTGTTATAAGAGATTCTTTCTAATGGATGTGTCAGTATAGACCAGGGATGGTTAAGCCCTGGCTCGTGAGCTATGTACAGCTCCTTGGTAGTAAAAAAAACAGCTCCTGAAGAAAGTAAATTAACAACAAATGTTTGTTTGAGCTGGGATGCTGTACCCAGATCATTGGGGCATGCACATCTGGAAGGTGTTATATCCTGCGACTCTTGGCCATGTCAAGATTCAGGTGCGTAGCTACAAAGGTTAGGAAATTTGGGCATGCTTGGTATAGACCAAGCCAACCACCAAACCAAGACACCTTTAGGGCAGTGAGAAAAGGGAATCTACTAATGCTGGTGTGAGAATGAAAAGGAAATAAATCTCAGTGTGTTCCATCCCAATTTATCTGGAGCTCTGAAACAGAATGAATTTAGGAAGACACAACCTACCACATTTGCAGAGCCTAGGGCCTGTCAGCAAAGGCCCTTGGGACAGGCTAGGGTAACATTGGCTCTTAGCAATGAAGAGGCAATGACATAAGGTACATACATCTGAGGCTAGCATGGCTGTTGGTGTAACATTGCAGCAAGCACTTCTTGGTCACATACCCACCACTGCTAAGGGTTAGTGATATGTGATGTGTACGTAGGCCAGCCTCAGGCATTTCCTGAGCCTTTCCCTTTGGTACAATCACAGTCATCAAGTGTGTAACAATGGCAAAGAGTCTAAGAACATAGCAGGCACCATCATGCCTCATCCTCATTTGCTGCTGTTCTTGTCTCATGGATCTATGCATTACGTTTCAGCATGTCAAAGCTGCAGGTAGACCAGAATTCCACAGCTGAGACCTGGATATAAACTTCCCAAGATTTCTAGGTTGTTCACAGAGGAAGTTTTGATCCAGTCCTATGAGGAGGTTCCGGAGCCCATGACAACCTACTTAACCCAGCCCACGACTCAGGGAGACCAATGTTCAGCTATGCCAGAAGGGCAGAGAAACAGTGAGAACGCAAGGGCTGGCCTGAGATACAGAAGTCTGCTTAGGGTAAGAGTCAGTCCAAGGCCCATCACTGACACCAAGTTGAGCTACAAAGTTCTGAGATAGATCTAAACTTTTCCTAAAGCTCAGGTGATTAGACCTACATTTGTAGTTTGGATATCTATCCCTGCTTACATCATATTGCAGAATTGCAAACTACATTTTGTGCCCAGAGGATTCATGTTAGTCCATGCTGACATGCATCCACTTCTGGGTGAAACATGCGTGTGACAGGGCATGGAGCTCACAATAACCATTTAAGACTGATGGAATTTGGCTTGTATTTCAGGCGATATGAACCTTGTTCTCATCCTGAAAATGCCTGTCATGATTGTGTGTAGCTTTGGTTTTGCATCTCATCCAAAAGACCCACTGGCTCTCAAGTTCTTGTTGGGTTGAGTCCCCAGTTCATTAGTTCATCAGTGGGACCAGCATATAGATGA